CATTGTTGCAGCCACTGCACCAATTCATCCCTTTGAGGATCTTTATCTTTTTCGTTGACTTTACCAAGCCTGATGTCCTTTTCCAAGGACTGTTCTCTCCTGACATGTCCACAGGATGTGAGAAAGTCTCACCATCTTGCCTTCTAAAGAGTAAGTCTTCTAAGACAGTTTTGTTAGTTCTTCCGGCAGTCCGCTGTACTTCTAGAATTCTTCTCCAGCACCGTAATTCAAAGGCATCAATCCGCCAGCCTTCCTTATTCATTGTCACTGTCACATGCATGTGTGACACTTTCACATGCATATCAGGGGATTAAAATACTTCAACGTGAGACAGGCACACCTTCAATACTCCAAAGAGATGTGTGCAGCAGATTTGCCCAATGCATACATCATTTGATTTCTTAACTGCTTCTTCCATGAGCGCTGATTGTGGATGCAGTTGTGTAGTTTCACTTAGCCACACTGCTTCTCCTTCTAGGTGCCAAGGCCCTGGTGATACTACACTATGCAAAACAATATCCCAGCCCACAAAGAATTCACAGCCTACTGCAAGATACAGATTCCTAATGAACTTAAAAAAAAAGAAGAAGAAGAAGCCAAATTTACTCCTAACACCTGTCAATTTTTAATGTTTAGGTCCTTAATTCATCCAACACCTTGACTTTTAGCTCATATGTGAACCCTCAAATCTCTCTCAGCAACCTACTTCCACGTGCTATGTACATTTGACATCATCTGAAAATGCTTCACAATGCCTCAGATATCAGAACTCTAATCTTCACATTTTGGCAAATTTTATTTACCAACATTCACAGACATAAGCAGCTCTCTAAAGCAACATAGCCTAATCCCTAAGCATATTACACCTGGAGCAGGGCTATAACCTAACAGATTCAGAGGTTCTCTAACTTTAAGTGTTAGCTCAAGGTTAATTCCTATGAGATGAACTGGCAACCTCTTTACCAATTCAGACACCAGCCACACCACTACTACCACCCTGCATGCTCTCTCCACCACTGTGTTTAATCACTGTTGCAATGGCCACACACAACTCAGACTATTCTCACAATGTTATAGTTTGTTAGCAAAATAGCAGGCTACTATTCAGCGTCAGGATTACTTGGAAGTAAGGGGGCCATCGTAGGACATGATCAGTTTGTCAATCAGGACAGCTTCCAATCAAGACAGCTCTCAGCTCCTTCTTGGCTGTGCATGCAGGCAACTCATTTCTCGGCCAGGTTAGCCTACTCAGCCGCTGGTGGGCTCAGGCAGTTGTTAGAATTCTGTGCTGAGAGGCATTCCATTCTTGCATGAAGGCATGCTTAACTCTCTCCCCCATGGACTCAGAAGCCCACCACAGTCATCTTACACACTCTCCTGGCAGTCTCCTCACTACTGCCACTCATGTTCTTGCCACCTCTATGCCATCTCTTGCTGCCTCTCACCAGCTGGAGACAGATGGCACCAGTGTGAACAGCTCTTTGTCTTGATGGTAGCAAGGTCCCACTCCACTAGCATGACATTTCCCTACTTCCACCAAGACCACAAACTGACCAGTCCTCTTGGTAGGCCACAGTCGCCTAATTTGCATGGTAATCAACCAATCCCAGTAAAGATTTTGCCTATTTGCATTGGAAACTGTCAAGGCACCTTGCAAGTTTGTGGTCTAGCAAATCATTCTGGCAGAACTACAAACCCAGGGCCAGAAAGGCTGT